CTAAAGTGTCTTGTAGATGCAGGAATGGTCCAAAGAACCACACTGCACTGACTGGGAAGGACCAGGGAAGACTGATTAAGCGATTTTAAGGTGTTTTTTCTCAATCTGGTTCTACTTTCCAGATGTTAAAGAACATTGTCCATGGTCCTCAATCTGGAATGTTAAGAATTGAATTCCAACTCATAGGAAGAAAAGTAGGATGAGGAACACTAAAATTAGCTTCTTACACAGCTTCTCTTGTGAGAGAGGTTGGGTTATTAGCCGTGGTGGCACAGTGGTTAGAATGCAGTACTGCAAGCTAATTCTGCTGACTGCCGGCTGCCAGTAGTTTGGCAGTTCGATCCTGATTGGCTCAAGGTTGACTCAGCCATCCATACTTCCAAGGTCGGTAAAATGAGGACCCAAATTGTTGGAGGCAATGTGCTGACTCTGTAAACTGCTTAGAGAGGGCTGTATATAAGTCTAAGTGCTATTCTTATTGCTACTGCTGTTACTCACTTAGTGGAGCACTTGGTTGGTGTAGGTGGTTTTTCAGTAGATTTGTCTTTCTACTTTGCCATCATAGCCTCTGCTAATGAGGATATGTAGGAAGAGTACTGTATTGGGTTTTTTTTTCTTCCCTTGTGAATTTGATTCCTTTGGAGATGTTGATGTTTTAGTGTGTGATTTCTAATTGGTCCCTTTTTATTATGGTCACGGCATCATCTGCATACCGGATCCATATTTTGGGTTCAATGTGTGGGACTGCTATTGATTCCATTATGACCTCTGCTATGAGTTCTGAAAATGGGGATCCCATAGGTATTATTCCTTTGATTTGTTGATATGTTTGCCCATCAAATTGAAAGTATGTGGTTAGGCAAAGGTTGATAAGAGGCTGCAACTGGTATTCCAGGTGTGGATGTGCTTTCTATAGGTCCATTAGTAACAAATGGACGTTAACTATTTGTTACCAAGGGACATAAAGAACTTTCATGACCAACCTGGGTTGAACCTTCCATTCAGATCTTGGCAAGCCCTAAAAGATCAGTTAGAAATAATAGCAACAATATTCATATATACTGTATAATTAACTGCATTCAGCAAAAAGGCCATTATACAGTATAATTGTGAATAATTAGAAAAATGACTATCTCTAGTTTCTTTTTATTAAAATGAAATATTCCCAATACTGTAGAGTGGGGAGAGATGGAACCTGTTAACTCTTCAACAGATACTTTACAATTAAAAAAGAAGTCTATTACTTTACTTTTCAGAAAGATTGCTCAGAAATGAAATTCTTCCCTAGGATATTCTACATGAACGTCCACTTTCATCCATGCATCATTAATATCTTATAGTCTTGTTACCAAAACCAAAAAGTAATATAACTTGATGAAGAGAAATCTCTCTTCTTAAGCCCCTTTATTGTTTTTCCATCTTATCATCATCAAGGTTGAAAAAATTCCAGCTTGCTGTCTTTCCCTTCTTATGCTTTTGCCTGGTCTCCCCACTTAGTACGTCCATTCTTTCCCAACACACCACAACCTTTATGAGCAATCCGCTCCGTAACATGCCTCATGTTTCTTAGTACCAGTTTCACGGTGCCATTTTGCAGGGTGAAGAAGAAAGGGTTCAGGAAAGGACAGACAATTGTGGTGAGTAGAGCAGGGACTTCAAGAGTCTCCTTTTGGGATGGTGTGACATAGATGAAGATGCTGATGCCACAGGAGATGGAGATGATGGTCAGATGTGAAGCACAAGTATTGAAGGCTTTTGCCTGACCTGAAGGGGTAGAGATGCGGACTATTGCTGAGATGATACACATGTAAGAAACTAAGGTTAAGACCAAAGAGCGGAGGATAACAACAGAAGACAGCACAAAGTCCATCAACTCTATCACTCGGGTGTCACTGCAGGACAGATTCAGCAGAGGGCCACTGTCACAAAAGAAATGGTTGATGATGTTAGACTTGCAGTAGGACAGCCTGGAGATCATAATGATGGGAATAAGAACTGAGAGGAACCCACCCAGCCAGCAAGCCAAAACCATCTGGATGCAGACCTGGCTATTCATGATCGCATGATATTGCAATGGCCTGCATATGGCGGCATAGCGGTCATAGGACATGGAGGTAAACAAAAGAAACTGTACTGTCCCTAAGAAGAAATAGAAATAAGACTGTGTCATGCAGCCAGCAAAAGAAATAGACTTGTCACCAGAGAAGAGGTTCCAGAGCAATTGCGGGCTGGTGACAGTGGTGAAGAAGATGTCCAGTATGGAGAAATTGCCAAGAAAGAAGTACATTGGGTTATGGAGGTGGTTATCTACCAATACAATGCAGAGGATGACCATGTTGGCCCCCAAGCTTGTAATGTACATGGTTAAAAAAAGGAAGGCTAGCAGGAGCTCAATTTGATGGCCAATGGAAAATCCCATGAGGATGAATTCAGAAATGCTTTGGTTCTCTGACTTTTTCTGATGGTCAAGAACAGCACCTGAAAGGACAAAGGTTATAATTGAGAAACACCAATGCACCAAATCCTGCTTGTATATTAAAATATGTTGTCAAAAATGTAATTGAATTCTTTGGGATTATCTCAAGAAACATACCTTACTTACCAGTCGTTTCTTCCTGTATCCCTTGGTAGAATTTGTTTTGCTGTTTTATTCAGTGAATGAAACACATACTGAGTTGCCCCTTTTGTAGCACCAGCTCAGATCCCAAATGGGAAGATTACTTCCACACCAGGAGAGAAGATCAGGAGAACTCCTAGTTGTTGAGCTGCATTGTTTGGCATCAATATTCTGCCTTAGATACAGGAGGGATTTTTCCTAGGTTGAGTTTCCCCATTCTGACATTCTTGAAGAAATAAACCATGCTGTGACTTAATTGAAGGCCTGGTCCACACAAACATGAAGACAAGGGCTGCAGTTCTGGAACATGTTGAGCAACAAATGGCCCTACTCCATGTTCTATGTCTCCAGCAACGGGTTTGATTTGGCGAACTCAGATTTATAATCTTACTTTTATATGTCAATAGAATAAGCTCTTCTCTCTTTTGAAGACTAGATCTGGACATATCTCTCTATACTTGTCCACTCACATCAAATGGATTTGCCTTTTGTAGACTGGACCACTTGCTTTTCCAACCCACTCATGTCTACAGGAAACAAATATTAAATCCCATTTTTTTTCCTCCAAACTTATCCCCAATATATATTTCCCTCAGAATATCTGCAACTGAAGCAAGTATCTTCTGCTGCAAAAACAAGCTTGGATGTGACGATCAATCTGAAAGGCTCAAATATTATCTCTGGGTTGGAGTCAGAGGTATCTGGTTGGCCATAATGTTGTACTTTGATCAATTGTGATTATTCCTGTCTTCTTATGTACATATAGGTAATAATAATAATATTAATAATAATAATAATAGTAATAGTAATAATAATAATAATAACAACAACAACAACAAAAACAACAACAACTCAAGAAGCTTGGGAAATTTTGAAAAGCGAGATAATATGGAAAGTGGAAAGAGGGGCACATAACTAAATCAGAATATCAACAAATAGCCCAAGCCTGCAAAGATGAAGTGAGGAAAGCTAAGGCTCATAATGAACTAAGGCTTGCGACCAAAGTCAAAAATAACAAAAAAAAGCTTCTTTCAACATGTAAAAAACAAGAAAAAAGTGAAGGAAATGATTGGTCCATTAGTGGGTGAAAGTGGCAAGAAGGTGACAAGCAATAGGGAGAAAGCAGAACTATTTAACTCGTTTTTTGCATCTGTCTTTACACAAAGAGAAAAAACAGAGCAACCTATGAAAAAGAATGCCATAAAAAACAGTATAGAAACACAAGTTAAGATAGGCAAGAAAATGATAAGTGAACACCTGTCCAGCCTAGATGAGTTCAAATCACGAGGACCAGATGGATTACACCCCAAGGTTCTCAAGGAACTGGCAGATGTGATCTCAGAACCACTGAACTATATTTTTCAAAGATCTTGGAGCACTGGGGAACTACCAGAGGACTGGAAAAGAGCTGATGTAGTTCCCATCTTCAAAAAAGGAAAAAAAATGGATCCAGGAAATTACAGACCTATCGGCCTGACCTCAATATCTGGGAAGATTCTGGAAAAGATAATAAAACAATGAATCAGCGAACACCTACAGGCAAACAAAATCACTACTAAAAGCCAACATGGGTTTGTCAAAAACAGATCATGCCAGAAAAACCTTATTGCATTCTTTGACCAAGTGACAAAATTAGTGGATCAGAGGAATGATGTGGATATAATTTACTTGGACTTCAGTAAGGCATTTGATAAAGTAGATCACAGCCTACAACTCGATAAGATAGAAAAATGTGGCTTAGACAGCATCACCACCAGATGGCTTCGTAGCTGGCTGACCGGCCGTACTCAGTGTGTGGTCCTCAATGGAACTGCATCTACATGGAGGGAAATGTGTAGTGGGGTGCCCCAGGGCTCTGTTCTGGGCCCAGTGCTCTTCAACATCTTCATCAATGATTTGGACAAGGGGATAGATGGGGAACTCATCAAATTTGCGGATGACACCAAGCTGGCAGGAATAGCCAACACTCCAGAAGACAGGCTTAAGATAGAGGAGGACCTGGACAGACTTGAACATTGGGCGCTATCTAACAAAATGAAATTCAATGGTGAAAACAGTAAGGTTCTACATTTAGGCAAGAAAAACCAAATGTACAGGTATAGTATAGGGGGTACCTTGCTCAATAGTAGTAACTGTGAGAGGGATCTCGGAGTCCTAATGGACAATCACTTAAATATGAGCCAGCAGTGTGCTGCAGCTGCTAAAAAAACCCAACACAGTGCTGGGCTGCATTAATAGAGGGATAGAATCAAGATCACGAGAAGTATTAATACCACTTTACAATGCCTTAGTAAGGCCACACTTGGAATACTGCATCCAGTTTTGGTCACCACAATGTAAAAAAGATGCTGAGACTCTAGAAAGAATACAGAGAAGAGCAACAAAGATGATTAGGGGACTGGAGGCTAAAACATATAAGGAACGGTTGCTGGAATTGGGTATGTCTAGTTTAACGAAGAGAAGGATGAGGGGGGACATGATAGCAGTGTTCCAATATCCCAGGGGCTGCCACAAAGAAGAGGGAGTCAAGCTATTCTCCAAAGTACCTGAAGTCAGGACAAGAAGCAATGGATGGAAACTAATTAAGGAGAGAAGCAACCTAGAACTAAGGAGAAACTTCCTGACAGTTAGAACAATTAACCAGTGGAGCAACCTGCCTCCAGAAGCAGTGAATGCTCCAACACTGGAAGTTTTTAATAAGAAATTGGACAGCCATTTGTCCGAAATGGCGTAGGGTTTCCTGCCTGAGCATGGGGTTGGACTCGATGACCTCCAAGGCCCCTTCCAACTTGATGATGATGATGATGATGATGATGATCCAGTCTGAACATCTGGCTGACTCTGTGATTAATAATAATAATAATAATAATAATAATAATAATAATAATAATAATAATAATAATAATAATAATAATAATAATAATAATAATAATAATAGAGTTGGAAGGGACCTTAGAAGTCTTCTAGTCTGACCCTCTGTTCAGGCAGAAAACTCTGTACAATTTCAGACAAATGGTTGTCCAGTCTCTTCTTAAAAAACTTCCAGTGTTGGAGCATTTACAACTTCTGGAGGCAGGTTGTTCCACTGATTAATTGTTCTAACTGTCAGGAAATTTTTCCGTAGTTCTAGGTAGTTAAGGGAGAACCGGTTTGGTACAGTAATGAAGACATCTAGCTGGGAAGCCACAGATTGTGAATTCTAGCCCTGCTTTAGACACAAAATTAGCTGGGTGATTTTCAGCCAGGCCCTTCCTCTCTACCCTAGGAAAAAGGCAATGGTAAAAAACTTCTGAAATCTTGCTAAGAAAATTTAAGGGGCTTATTTGGGCAGTTTCCATGAGTCAAAAATCTGACTCCAAGGCACCCTCTCCTTCCAAAAAGAGGAGTTGAATAGTCTTCCTACCACTAATCAATGTTTGTCTGAAACAAAAATTTTACCTGCTATTTACTGTCTTGCTTCCATCTTCTTTTTTCTTGTGCCAATGCATCTCCAAAAAGAGATAAGTCCTTATTGTTTTCACAATTTCTCTCACCCTTTCCAGCCATTAGGTAGATGGGAGAAATTTGCCTATGATTCATCTGAATGCAAATTTAATTTTGCCCTTTTTGAACCAAAATGTGCACATGGATCGATTAAAATTATGCATGGAGATGTTTTATGTGGGAGAAAATTGCTTGTCACACTGTTATTCAGGAGGGAAAATAATGTAAGCAGAGATGTGTTAAGTTTGGATAGATTTGCATAAAACAGTAATACAGTACATGTAAATTCAACCCTTAACAAAAATTCCTGCTAAAATCATAGTTTAACAATATGTTAAAATTGTCGCAACAGAATAAAATAAGTGGAAAGGAAAATAAACGAGAAGAAACTGATAAAGTAAACAATGTCTTTCAGTCTTCTCTTTCCAATGATTGTGTCCTATGAAATAATTTGATATACTTGTCTGGTGTAGCCTTCAAAATCAGATTTCCATCTCTGTTCATTTTCTCTATTGTTTGCTAATCTGCTGAGCTCAGGCATTGGAAGACTGTGTTGGCTGCAAACATCCAACAGATTTTGAAACATGGCAAAGCCATATAAACACACATTCAATAACTGAGAATGTTTTCAGTGTCACTTGATGCAATGAAATCGCTGATGTGTTTGGAACAATGCTGGAATGAAAAAAATACTCTGTTATGTCCACCTGGAATAAACTTCTGAGAATGAGTTTAAAACACACACACACACACAAACCTCAAAGGATTAAGGAAACAATTGCTAATTCCAATTAGTCTAGAACTTTTCCAGGTCTAAACTCACTCAATTTTTCAATTTTCCCCTCTTCGGGCTCGCTTCAGGAAGAATCCAAGGTCCAGAGAATTGAAGATGACACTTGCAGCCCTTTTCTCTTGTCAAACTGACTCTTACAAACTGCAAAACTGTGGTTGTATGAAGAGGTTTTTACATCCTTTTTAGATGTTCCCTAGTTTTGTAACCTTGGGTGTAGCAACCTTCTCGAGGAAAATATCTGCTGAATTACACCATGGGGATAGATGAGCCCAGTGAAAATATTTCATCTCTCACACACATATACAAACACGCACACACATATGCACATTCTAAATCATCCTTAGAATTTAACCCCTAAACCTTGTGTTGTTAGAGCTACCAACTTACAATAGTAGCAAATATCTGTTGCTCGGGTATAGGGTGAGGGTGAAGGTTCATTCTCTGAGCTTGTGGGTTGGTTTCTGAACCTTTCGTTACCAGGCTAGGTAACGTCTTCAGCAGAGTTTAGGGGAGGTCTGTGTCAGCGTTCCTCTGTTTATAAGGGCTTCAGGTGGGGATGTGTCAAGTGAGGGTCTGTGGTAGGTC